AGTTAAGAGATTTAAAAGCACTAAGTACACATTGAATAGTAAAACCCTTTTTATAAATTGTCCTATACAATATGCATACATGTAGCTATTATGCTAAGTTCCCCCATTTTAAAGAAACCAAATCTATTAAAACCACTTACTTGACTTCCTGCCCGTGCATTTCCCCCCTGTGTGATTACCTTCCCTGATTAATTTCACCCTTCCCTGATTACCCTTTGTCCCTTTATGGGTGCCAGTTTGTCTCAATGTTTCATTAAGCAGCCTTCAGTATGTATACTCAGTGAAGGAGGAACAAGCAGTTTTGCAGATGCAGAGCGGAGAGTGCGGGTCGGGATGGAGGGTTTGACCATGTCCTGGATGTAAGCTGGACCCGATCCATTCACAGCATGGTACGGGAGCACCAATGTTTTGAACTAGATGCGGGCAGCCACCGGTAGCCAGTGAAGAGAGCGGAGGAGTGGAGTAGTGTGGGAGAATTTCGGAAGGTTAAAGACCAGTCGGGCTGCTGCATTCTGGATGAGCTGCAGAGGTCGAATGGCAGTGGCGGGGAGACCTGCCAGGAGGGAGTTACAGTCGTCCAGGCGGGAGATGACAAGAGCCTGAATCAGTACCTCCGCTGCCTTCTGAGTGAGAAGGGGATGTATTCTCCTTATGGGATACCGCAATTTTATAATAAACAGCATAAAGTACAAATGTAAACGATATATAAAACATTATTCACAATTTTTTTTTAACAGATGAAATGACTCTTTGTAGATGTCTCCACAGTGTTACATACCAGGGGATAATACAATGCAATTTACCCTTAATACCCTTTGACTTTAGATGTGTTTGTAACTACATCTACATCATTGGAAACACTAACATAACTTACCTGCAAATAGTATATTTCTAGGGTGTATATTGTGAAAGGTAAAGATGGAAGGAGTGGATAGAATAAGTCTGATAAGTAAGCAATAAGGTTGGCAGTCTCGGTTTGGATTGTGAAGCCTCGGAATAGGTTTTGGTGAAACAGTGCAATAGAAAAGAATGAACAGTTCAGACTGCACGCAAAGGGCCTCATCAAGTTCTCACATGGTCTTGTATGCACCTTCAGTACAGGAAGAATGTCCTACAGGTTGCTCCCATTTCCCAAACATGCAAAAAAACAACTGTCTGTTTAGCAAACACCTCTTTGGAATTAGAAACTTTCAACGATACCAGCAAAATAATGAGAATGGATTGATGCTCTCCTCCCACAGGCAAGTCGATGACTAAACTTTTGATGGAGCACCGAATCCTTTTTAGGATACAGGGCCCCTTTCCCCAGAAATCGCCTCCATTTTTCAAGACAAGAGCTACAGATGAGGCATGGAAACTGCACGTTTGCTGTAAATACCACATTATATTTCCCCAAAGGACACACCTGAACTGTGAAAAGCAAAGCCTTTCTTTTCTAAATGGGTCATGATCTGTTTTCCCTGTGGAGTCCCTGTGGACAGGTAAACCATTAGTCAGGCCTGCACGTTCCTCCTAATCAATTTACACAGTTTAAAACCATTCATCTCCATATCCCCGGTTGACTTCTATATTCGATGCAAAATGTCAGGTACTGTAATAATACCAAAGCGGAGCTCAGGATTATTGCAGAATTGCCAAATACAAATGATTTCTTTCCCTGTTATCTTCCTCTGGCAGTCGGCCAGGTTCCACTTTTTTTCTAAGGCAGTGCATCAGGTTATGGGAGAAATGTAGATGAAGACATTTTGATATATGAAGATCCAATATGCGATCCAGTACAGGGTGGTGATAAGCTAACAATAGTATCACAAAAGACTAATGGTTGTCCGCGATAAACCACACCTGGAATGGCTACGGCAGTACCTGCGCCAGAGCAGATGTGCACCACGTGCCCGACGTGCCTCAACAGTAAAATGGATAGTTACAACTTCGGGTGTTGAGGCGCTTACCACACAGAGCGCGTTGTTTGTCGCCCATCGGCCTTTCTGATCTGTAACCAAGATTCAATGGTGGCAGATGGGGGGCGTGGAGGTGGTGGGAGGCGGTGTGTGATGGGGTAGTTAACTTACGACGTTTCAATGTGGTGCTTCAGGCCACAGAGGGGGAGTTGGAACCTGAGATTGATGGCGTCTCCATCGCCGCCCCAGAGTGAGAGGAAGCACAGCAGCTCTTTTGGTTTCAAACCTGATAATATTTTCCTGATATTTTCAATAACCCACCCATCCATCATTTAGCAATTACAAAAAAACTCACCATTATTTTGTAAGAATTCATAGTAATTTGTTTTTTAAATCTGCTTCTGAGAGTGAATTGTTTTTAGGAATTATGCTGTACCATATTATATTACCTATTATACTGTATGATGACAGCCTCCAAAAGGATATGTTTTACCCGTTGTAATATCTAACAATAAAACAAATAATTGTATTAGAAAATCCATAATTTTTTATAGAATTGTTAATGAAGCTTTTCACATATATTTAAACTGGCATTGAGGTGGCATGACCCTTTAAGTTGGATGTTCTGATATGCTCAACCTGATACCAAAGAGGGAAAGGATCATCATCTACAAGCCTAGAGAAGGCACATTTATATCATATTCATCAATTGACTCAGGAAAGATGAAGACAATACCGAACCCTCTTTGTATTATGATTGTTTGGCATATCATGGATCAACAAAGCCTTGTGTACCCTGAACATCTGCAGCATGCGACGATGTGCAGATGTTCAGACCGCAGAGATAACATTTAACGCACATGTCTTTGGATGAATAATCGCCTTTCACAACCTAAGTGGACCATCTCATGTGGAATAATGATGTGAATGTAGCAAAGACAATAAACTTTTCCCCAGGCGGAACACCAAGTCTGTTTCCACTTACCAGTTGTAGTGGGCTTGTTAAATTTGCACATGAAATAATCTGAAAGTTTAAAGTAAAAGTACCACAAAATCTTCAATATTTTTATGTTGCGAGTTTACCCAAAATTCATGATGGACTTGAAATATATATTTTAATATATTCAATGTCACTGTTGGCAGATGGAAATGTCATCACTTTAAAAATACAAAGGCATGACACAAACATATTTCCATCAAATTTCATATTTCCATCAAATTCCATCAGATTTCAACTTGTTTTAGTGGAGCTATTTTGGGCTGCCTTGAATCTGGAGTGGTTCAATGGCGCTGATGGGAGATTTTCAACTGTTCATGTTGAGATTGAGGACATGACATGATCTTCTGCAAAAGAAATCTGCCCTCCAAACTCTCAAGCTACAGCATGGCTAAAGCCTTGGTAATATTTCCATAATGGACCCGGACAGCTATGAACAATCTATAGGTGTAGCAGTCAGGGGTGAAAGAATGCGCTCCGTTACTAAGTACTGCTTTAAGTATTTACGGGGGCAACTCGGGAAATGGGACCATCCGAGGAGCACATTAACACACCAGCGTCCATCACGTATGAGTGCCATTGTATTTTTCTTTGAAATATTGTTCAAGAAAAAATTGTTCCAGTGTCGGTGTGTTTTGTGCCCTCAGACGTGCAGGTTTTCAAAAATCTGTTTATTTAGCCTGCTGCTGGCAAACAGAAACTTCTTATGTAACTGACTGTCTGATACCAGGCCTTTGAGGCTTTGCCAAATAGTTGTCGCTTGCAAAAATGACAGATAGAAATTGTTGTGATGGTTCATCGGTTTTATTTCAACAGCGTTACGGGGTGTGTGTGTGTGTGTGTTTGTTTGTGAGCATTTTTACTTACTTCCTTTGAGCACACATCGCCTGTGAACTGCTCAATTTTTGGCTTAAACCCTGTAACTTCTCTAATCCCGAAAAGAAGGATCGGGGTAAAGCAAGTCATTTCTGGCCATAGATTAGTTGACCTTTTTATAACCATCCAGTTTTAGATTTTAAAGACAACATCACAGTACTACCAGACCCTTAGACAGCAATACCTCTGCAGATGATCTATTAAGCAGGATAAGACTGCACAGTTTTACGCTAATGGGGAGGGAGGCGTAGCCACTGAGAAACTCATGGATGTAAGCCAGATTCATGTGTAATCCAAACTCATACAGAGAGTGGAGATAAATTAGAGACAGCACGTTGAGCCATTTCTGGGCTTACTAAAATAAATACAAAAACTGCCGAAAGATATCATCATGAGAGATCCATTCAAGCCTTGAAAGTAGTGGAATTTCTGGAAGATTAAAGAACAAAACAGGGCAGTGTGGATGAGTGTTTGGACAGCCTTATCGTGCATGCATGTGCAAACAAGCTCGTGAGCATGTCCAAACCGCCATGGCAGCTGCAGGGAGAAGATAAATAATAGAAAATAAGTGTTGAATACATTTCCTTTCTCATGAAACATTTGTAGAGCACATGTTCGGAAGACTTTAATTCCTGCATTGTTTACGTGTCTGATGGCATGCATTTTTTTCTTCATCCCTGCCTTCTTGGTGCAATGCTTGGCTTTTCTTTGCACGTTATTGCCGCCAACTGTCAATTAGTGGAATAATGTGAAACCAGCCACAGGCAAAATTATTTCATCGCCAATGTGTGCGCCACCCTTTCGCACACTGAGTATGTGTGTTACACTGCTTAAGCGCCGTATGTAAATGAAGTTGATTATGATGTGCTCTTTTTTTCAAAACAAAGACTCACTTAGATGATTTGCCCTTTCTGTGAGATAGGTGTGGAGGGAAACCTTCCCAGATTGCAATGAGGCAACAGTCTTATGGGCCTAGACCAGAATAAAAAAAATAATTATTTGACACTGTGCTCCACGATGTCTCGAGTGATGTTGTCTGTCTGTACTCATTACAGACTGATATGTTTGTAGTTAAAATGGAACATTTTCGACATTCGACTAAAAATGGAACATAAACTAAAGTAGTTGAAGTTGACAAGATGAACCAAAAAAACAATAGCTCATAAAGTGAACACAACATCAGGTATGCAAATAAGTAGAGATGAAAAAAAACTGCAAAGGACACCCAAAACTTCTATATAGATTGTATTATATTTCCAAAAATATATTTACAGTCTATTACAAAGGTTACAAAGCAAAAAGAATTGTCTATGTAACAAGAAATTGTCTAATTCAATGATCTTACAGTTCTGCTGTTGGGGAAAATACTTTTGACCAGTGGATATTCTCAATACTTTCATCACAAAAAAATAAATAATAAATTGAAATTTGTATTACTGTACAAGAAATTAAAAACGAAAAAAAAACAAAGTCAAAGTAAAGATGGTAATCCTATCAGCGGTCTTTGGTCCTAAATGAAAAAACTTTATGTACAACTAAAATCTTGATGGTTGACAATAATTACTCTGCAAGATAGAAAAATATAGTGCATTTTCAATGTATTCAGAGCTCTCTACTGAGTAATATGTGTAAAAAACAATATAAATAAAATGTACAAGTTTTACAATTAGTTCACATACAAAGATCCCCTCAAATCTAGTCTCCCTCTGACACAATCAACAGTGCTGCACTCTTTGGAATTATTCACCACATTGACCAAAGCGGTGAAACTAATTTCCAACTGCTGAACCACAAGATTTGAAAAATAACTTCATACTCTATCTGCTATTCCTGATTCCAACCTACATCCTGCAGTTTTTTTCTGTTTTACATTTTATATTTTTTTTGTGTGTTTTTTCTTCTTTTTTTGCTGAAATAGAGCCACAACTAAACTTTTCTCCTCCAGAGTTGAGCAACCTGAAGTTAAAAAATGTGGATAAAACAAGCTTAACAAAGTTCAAACCTCTGAATGACTTCTGGCGCTGAAGGTTGGGTGTTGAATTGATTGCATCCCTGGCCTTAATCTCAATTTGGCTCAAACTGCTGTTTCCACAGCACAGGAAAAAAATGAGGACAGAGGCATTCTACCCTGGGGTGTAAAGGGGCCTCCAGTGGCCCTGTCTTAAAACCCAAGCGTAGAGTGAGTGTGTCTGTTGGGGGTGCGGGGTGCGTGGGGGTGAGAGAGAGCGAGTTTTGTGCTGACTGAATGACTTCATGCCGGTATTCAATTCAAAGGTCTGGCCAAGGCCCAATTGCTGAGCTCTGCTGTACGGATAAAGGGCCCAATGTGTGTGACACAGAGAGGGAGGGGTAGAGCTCAGAGCCGGTCGGGGCTAATTCCTGGTGTCTCCTGACAAAGGTGAGTCCCGCAGTGGAAATGGATCCAACTCTATATCCACACTAAGCTGGATTATTCGGAAAACACAGTTTACGTGCAAAGTCAAAATGAAATCCACACCAGCTTTCTCAGGGAACTTTACGTTCACTTTGTAAAGGCAGTGAAGGTAAAGGTGGTAAAAGGTTCCATTGTCATCAAAAATGCTCCGAAAGGAGCAAAAGGAATCGCCAAACACTGAATTGTGATGATTAACCTTTCCCCAAAGCTCTAAACCTCTGACCTTAAGAGATTCGGATTTCGGTCCTGCAGACCAAGCAGTGGGACAACAGGTAAACAGGGCGTTTTGATGCCTTTAGGTCAGTGGGACAACAATGACAGCTAGATAAGCCTCCTGGTTTCTGTCATCACTCGAGTGTTTTCATATAGCCAAACTCAACATTAGAGCGTTCAAAGATGACTATTATCAGACAATGGATCGACTACAGCTACTTAGCAGCGGCTCATCAGTACTAATTTTTGAAAAATCCTACGCAACTATATGAATAATCATTTTTAAAAACGAATCAAGCGATAATGTAAATTACTAATTTAATGTGAATCTTTTTTGGATGTTTTGCTCCTATGCGATCTTATTGGATTTTGGAAAGTTATTTTAAGTTAAGGGTTAGGAAGAAGGTCAAATGGGCGTTGAGAAAAGATAAACCGTTTTTCATTGTTTTATAGATCAATAGATTAACTGGGAAAATATTTCATCATCATCAGATAATCAGCATTATTTTCCAATTCCAAATATGTCAGACAAAAGCAACAGGATGATGAGTGACCGTATGAAAGTTGGGGGGTTGGTTGTAGTGACGGTACTTATTGAGAACTCAAAAGGAACATGTAGGTGTCCTGGTAAAAGCCTTCAATACATTTAAAACACATAATCATCTTTGTCCATCTTCTACAACCACCATTCACCTGAGCCAGCGTTTGGCTGAAGGTCACCAGACATAATGAGGTCACCTGTTGCCCTGAAACCAGATGCTATCAGGATTCTGCGTGTCTGCTGTTGGAACATCACTTCTGACAACCCCCTAAAGTACATTTTGATGCTGGTAATGTTTTAATTCGACGTTTGAAGCTTGCCGACTCTTGCAGATGCGCAGGGCTATTTCGCTTGACGTTGGCTGTAGAAGGTTCTAAACTCTCCGCTTTGGGTCGATGAGGTCTGAGCGGCCCTCAGACAAAGGGGTATGATGGTAACATTCGTTTTAGGGTTGCCCCTTTATAGACTTCATTCAACTGTATCCAGACATGCTTGTCTTTGAAGTGTTTCCGTAAGTATCGGCTTATTCTCGATAACTGGGAGAATGAAGAAAGCTTGTATTGGTTTTACTTTTCGTCCGTGAGGGATAATGCTTTTTCTATGCATTCAATATGACAATAATTGAAAGAAATGACCGGATACACAGAAGTATCTCAGGCTACTGCAGCAGTAGAAGACATGGTTGTAATGGTTTTTCTCCATGGACACCACTCCTGTTTACGTGACAGCTGAATGAATGCATTTTCTTTTGAAAGAATGCTGCACTGAAAACATGGGAACGTTTTTTTTTTCTTTTTTGCATTTGAAGTGGAGACAGATGGCCTGGAATAGGTTGATTGGCTTTCAGCACATCATCTGCAAAGCCCCCTCATCTCTGTTCTCGTACAAAAGACGTATGGGAGAAAAGAGGAGCAATCTTAAGAGACACTTTAATGCATGTTCCGTTGCATCCACGACGCCTGTGAGGGATGGGTGGCGTGGACGCGTGAATAAATAAAGAAGCTGCATGGCATGTCTACAGATCTGTGGCCAGCGGCGGCGGGGGGTTTAATCGCACCATCTGCGTTTAGACTGGAGCTCCGTCGCTTGGTCCTGATTTCCAGAACCGAAGCCCCGAAGGGGCCCTTTTGATTTGTGGACAACGCCGTAGGTGTCGGAAGATGATGTCAGCCCGGCTAAGAGGCTACTTCTCTATGGTTTCGAATGGGGCCTCTTTCATCTCGCCAGGCACCCAATTCAACATTTCCGTGCCGTGTTTGATTTCCACCAAACGTTTTAGCATATCGTTTGCTACTTTGATGACTTGGCAAGGATGATTTTTTCCCGAGCACTTTTTCAAAATATTTTCCTGGTCAAAGAGGTACATTCCTTTCATTTGCGACGGTGACTGAGTTGTCTCAGCGCAGCACACACATGCAATAAAACCTAGCACCTTTAAAAAAAAAAAAAAAACAACTCTTCAGGCAAGAACATTCTTTACCTGGTAATTATTGCTCTGTTTAGTCAGTCTCTTCACCGAACGTGTCACTCGTGGCAATAAATTGTGTTTGTGAGCTCCATTTCACCAGTTTAAATTTGCAGATAAAAAGACACTACAAAGGAGAAAAATAAAATAGTGAGCGTGTCCAGCCTTTGAATGAAGTGCCTAAAATAGTGGCAATACTTAATCTAACGCATCTTTTAAGGCAGTATTATGTCTACAAAGTTCTTGGATTCATTCCCATAAAAACTGTACTTGCAGCTTGACACTGTGCAGCAAAACAATGGAGGCTTCAGTTTTAATCAAATTTTTCAGCAGCGCTGCAGAAGCCTTCTCGATAACCATGTAACCGTTCTGCCTTTCCTGTAGTCAACACTAAGACTCTGATATAAAAGTCTTTTGATTTTGAAAAAACATCTCTCCTCCTCAGTGTTGCACCCTTCAGAAAAATCCTAATAAACAAACCAAACAATTGAGAGATTGGAACCATGTTGAAAAAAAACAAAAAAAAAACTGCACAGAAAGGTTACTGTTTTCACTTCAACAGCACATGAAGGGAAACACGAGTCACTGCAAACAGTTCAAACAGTCCAGCAGCACAAAAAGTACCCTTTTAAATCTGCCCGTAAAAACTTCCCTCTGCGATTGGATAAAAGAGAGTTTACCCTGTAGTCAAGTCCAAATAGAAGAGAAAGAGAGAAAACAAACAAAAACTGCCACGTGGGCCACCACAACCTGTCACTGTGGCAGACTAGTTAATAAACCAGTTAGAGAAATAATTGAAAGCACCGCAAGTAGACACATTTTTTTTGTTCTTTTGAAAGGTAATCCATTGCCTCGGTGTGGTCACTTAAGCCGTTCTTTAAATTAATGAAACAGAAGCGTCAAACTCTAATGGGCGATTTGATATATAGTAGTTCATAAGCGCTTCTAACAAAAAAACAAAAAGAAAGCAATGTCCAGGTAGTTTTTCTTTTTTTAGTTTTCCTTCTGCCCTTTTCCACTGTTTAGTGCCCCTTTGAAGAGTTGGACCACAATCCGTCACTGAGGAACAAAGGAATGGTTTCACTCCAGACACTGCCGGAAGAGTCTGACGAAACAGATGTCTGTTTACTTTGACTATTATCCCGCTTACGTCCCAGGCACTGCTCCAGATAAGTTCTGTTTTTGTTGTCCTTTAGGGTTTTGGGCCCGTCCGATGCCGTCCGTCACACCTGGATCCCCGTGCCGTGGAGGTGCAGCATCTGGGCTCTCATTGTCTGTATGCTGCTCATGATCTTTTTCTGATGGCCCACCAGCGTGATCCCCAAGCTCATCACGTCCCTGGGGAGACAAAATAAGACATCGTTCAATGCAATGGACCACGGTGATCACGGCCAAACAAGTTCCAGTTACAGCTTTAGCATGATTGTGAGTGAAAGGCACATACAAAAAAATATAAAAAACGCAGGAGGTATAATTCTCTGTGATCCATTTTTAACATCAATAGCAAGGACTATCTGAAGTTTGATCTTGGGAAGTATGTCTTGTTCATTTGAACCCTTAAGCATTGAATGGGTATGTAGAGACAAATATTGACATCTGATGGTCACTGGGAGTTCTGAGTAACAACTAAAGCGCAAGCAATAATCTGGGCTGACTCTCCGCAGCCGCTGTCAACTAGTAGGAATGCAATAAAAAAAAAAAGGAGTTCAGACAAGTTTACAAGGCTTAAGATGAGGACACACACTGGATGGGAATGTTTGATAAGAACTGTGAAACATCATGCAACAACATAAAATGTGTGTTCCCGTTAACCACAGAGCATTTGGTCTGTTTTACATTGCTTTACATGAGATGAGATTTTGGATTGTTCGTGAAGTAAAACGTTGGTGCACGGTTGATGAGAGGCCCTCAACAAACTGTACCTCCATACTGCCATTATGGCTTAAAAAAATGTATTTTTAGTTTAAGCTATGATGAAATATAGCTTATACATTACATTGCAGGGCATTTAACTGACGCTTTTATCCAAAGCGACTTACATTACATTTGTAACCCATGGCTTTTACATTTTGCCCGGGGAGCAATTAGGGGTTAGGTGTCTTTCTCAGGGAGACTTCGACTTGGGAGATGGGGCAGCCAGGACTCGAACCACCCTCTGTACACCTGCGCCACGACGATATATGTACTCAGTATATCATATTCACTGCTGACAGTTACTTATTTAATATATTTGGAATTCTCAGAATGGTTACTTTTACTTTGAAGTCATTGTGATGTAAAGATTGATACTACTACTACTATTTATGGCGATCTTTAACTGAAACACAATTCCAATAAGTCAGAATTCACTGATTTTCATCAGTGACACCACAATAATCAAAACTCAATTGTTTAGGTCGGTTAGGATAGGGAGGAACAATGCCCTCTAAACCCCTAAAAGGTTTTTAATGTGAAACATCTGTTCATGTGTTTCATTAAGGGTATCAACGAAAAAAACGCTGGAAAACCTCGTTCGGATATTAAAAATATATATATACACAGAGTGTGTTTTCGATTGCTTTGTTGTCAAAGTGATGGAATTATTGATGTGGGAATGTACATTCCTTTGACTTTGTGAAGAAAGATAACTAGAAAGGACTTGAGCTTGCCTTTGCCGTCAAAGAGGCCTCCTGCTAAAAAATGTATAAGATATACAGTGTTCAATCATGGAAGAAATAAAGGATGGGTTATCTCCAAAGTTTGGTTAAATGAGGCCTGTAATTGAAGATTTATGATAACTTAGAAAAACTTTTTTTTTTTTTACCTTATTGGGTGGCAGCCCAATAAAACTCACTGGCCAAATGACGTAATGCAACAAAGTAGATTGTTCTACTCGTGTTGGGATGGGAGAGAAGAAGTGAAGTGTAGGTGAGATCACCGTCTTAAGTGTGGCTGGTATTAATGTTCTCTACTGATGCTTAACCGCGTGAGGGCTTCATATCAACTTACTCGATTGACATCCTGGCCACAGATTCCAGGGAACTGTAGCCAGCCGCTGTGAAGTTGTCCCGGTATCGCTCCATCTTGATGGCTTCCAGCCACTCTCCCACTGAGCGGAAAGCGGTGAAGTCTGGTGTGCTCTGATCCAGCAGTGGACTAATTGGTCTGCGGGATGAGCACAGAATGATGTTTATGTCTCGCGTGAAAAGGGAAACGTTCCGCTGAAAACACAATCAAGCAGGCGACGAGACAGAGTGACGACCAAAGGCATCCAGCGGTGCAGCAAATTGCGAAAGGGAAAAATGATGGCTTCAATCAATACCAAAACTCACAAAGACATACAGTGTGGTAGTTTGCCTTGTAAAAATAGTTGTTGTTAATAACCTTTTCAATCCGATTACCGTCTCCATGTATAGTCTCAATAAAATAAAGCACTTTTTAACCAGCTGCAACTTCTCGATCTCGAATGGAATTAGCCGAATTAGATGAATTCTATAGGCACATGACAAACGTCAGAGAAAGGTCTGGAGTTCCCACTGCACTTTCAAAGAACCCAGAACTCATTACAGAGATTGATTTAAAAGGCCTCTTATTGACCATAAAGCCATGGAAGGTGCTTTGAGGTATCGATCCCCTGGGATTCATCTTTCATCTGCCAACTACAAAGGCTAAATCACCCGCTGGACACTTTAGATCATCCACTAATGCACTAAAGTAAAAGTCCAAATTCTTCATTGCATGAAGCCACATTAAAAAATTGGATGAATTGTTGTTGCTCTTTCCTTACCTTGTACATGTTCCCAATGGGGTTTTCAATGTGTTAGGGTTGCGGATCATCTTGTCAAGTATGCCGACTATCTGATCGAATTTGGGACGTTCGGCTCGGTCTTTCTGCCAGCAGTCGAGCATCAGCTGATGGAGGCCTGGTGGACAGTCCATTGGAGCTGGAAGACGGTAGCCTTCATCTATTGCCTTTATGACCTGGGAAATGCAAAATGAGTCATTGGTATAAGCTGTCCGTTTCTCTGTAAACCTGGCCCAAAACATTTCTGTGTCTTCCAAACCCCAGTAGCCTTTAGCACCTACCACATACTAACTCCAAACCCTGGTATCTATCCAAGCCAAAACAAAGGACGTGAGATCTAGCATGTCATGAATAAATTGACGTTCATTTTATAGTCATGTTAAAAAGGTTGTGCGATTCATTTAGACCATGCCTATTACTAAAATCAGATACAGACTCTCATTTACCAATCCTCATGAGACAACACATGCTTTTAGTTTATTTTAGTAGTGAAGCTCTCCTATTGCTGTACTTCGCCATAAAACAATTCAGTAAGTGCTGAACCTTGCGGCTAAGCTTTTATGAAACTCTTTATGTGGTAGCATTCTATTAAAACTGTCTTTATTTGGCTGACATTTTACATATAGCCTTCAAAAAGGTTACCTACCTAAAAGGTACCTTGAATGCAATGTACGTAAAAAAAAAGATAAATATGAACATTAATATATATATATATATATATATATATATATATATATATATATATATGTTCATATTTATTTGTTGCGTAAATCTTTCCATATTTTCAGCAATTATTTCAGTCAGGGCTGCTGAGACGAGATTGACTCCAGGATGGAAAAAGGTGTCAAAACACTGAAACTGTTGAGAAAAATGCAAATAACGTTCTTTCCTGCAGCCCCCTGAGGATGTTTGCTGACATCTTGATGAAGTGCGAAAAATCCCTGACATTGATGTCTGGCAAGTAGCACCGCATACGGCTCTTTAACGCCCCGGCCATCTTGTTTAGCATTTCTAACATCTGATTGTTCCAAGCCTCTGCTTTGGAGCACCGGAGAATCTTAATCAGGTCTAGGCCTGGCGCTTTGGGTGCTAAACACCATGCAGCATTTTGGAATCCTGAGGACCGGCATAGACTCGCCATCTACCATCAATGAAAATGTGCCAAATGTCCGACAACAAGGGACAGCTTCGAGTGGTCCGGCACAGTTGGTATCGCTCAGTGGGAGTTGGCAGGAAGGCTTGCGACTGCGCTCAGAGAACTGCGGGTGAGTTAATCATTATAGCAATTTGTGGCATTTAAAAAAACAACAAAAAAAAAAACAGTTTTGGGACTATGCTTCCCGAGGGAGAAATGTCTGGGCAATGTCAGGAGTCAGCTTGTGGCACTTTAAAGATACAGTTTCTGATTCAATTACGGCACATAAAAGAACCCCCAATATAAGATGTTTCACAACAGTCAGGTTGGAGAAGATTTTAATTTTGTTTTTCGGTTTAAGAGCTGGATTGTTAGAGCTCCAATGTCTTGTTTTGATTGTGTTGTGCTTGACTGAGGTGTGACTTCATTAACTGTCTTTTATTTGAAAAAACACCTGAGATGTTTTAGGAGAGACATTCTCTCTTGCAGTAAGTGACTGTAAGTGACTTGCAGTAAGTGACAGGAGGTCTTTAGACGTATCATCAAGGGGTGTCAAAACACCTATAAAAGGAATAATTAAAGAAGTGCTATATAAACTTTTGCACTGCACTTCACAGAGGTATCCGCTCTCCTCCAGATTGGAAGAGAAAACATGAAGTCAAATCAATGCCTTTACATCCCAATGCCCGTGACAAATGCAATTCAGCCAGCAAAATACGCTGGAGTTGCTGCCTGTTTAATTAGTTCAACACTGCTACTCACAATGATTTCCCATTAACATAAGTCATTAGAAACTTTTAAGGACATTTGAATCAAAAGCCCCCTGCATGACAAGTTCTTTCAACTCCCGTTGTCAGGACTTCCTCTTTATGTGTGTCCCATCGCGTGGCTGTTTCTACTTCCAATGGATTCAGACTGCGTAATCGTGACAACACTTCTTGAACTAATTAAGCGCAAGGTTACCGTCCCGGCCGGGCTGTTCTCGAGAGGGTCCCGCGAGACGAGTCTCCAGGCAGAACCAAAAAATGGGAGTTTGGTCCGTGATATTTATGTTTTAGTGGAATGACTTCATGAGAATTAATTAGGGCTGAATCATGGGAATATCCCTGCCCCGTTTCAGTAATAGTCAGTGAAAATAAAGGTTGTTCTCCCACACTGTCCTGATCATTTCTTTTCATGAGCAACACAGGATTTAGGGTTTAGAAACTCACAGTTAATGGAACGGCAAAAAGGCAAATTTTCTTCAGATCACTCTCAGATCACTTTTCTTGTTCTTTTTGTCTCTACAGTTAACTCTTTTGTTATGAGGTAGTCCATCAGCAGAATGACAAAGTAATTCAGTGGCTTCATACCAGGCAGTAACTTACATCTTGATTGGACATATCCCAGTAGGGCCGTTCCCCATAGGACATGACCTCCCACATGACAATGCCATAACTCCACACGTCGCTTGCAGAGGTGAATTTACGATACTGTATGGCTTCTGGAGCGGTCCACCGGACGGGTATTTTGCCGCCCTGTTCAGTAAAACGCAGGTCAGTGGCTGGAGTAAAGATCAAATGCATTATATCCTGCATCTTCCCCTAAAGACATCAATTAGAGAGAGTTTCAGAGTTACAAACATGGTCAAAAACACAAAACAAACAACAACTTCCCTAATAAACTGCCAGCAATTTCTAGTAAGGCATTCCTTTATAGGGTTTTTTTGGGCTTTAGTAATGCTTAGTTAACCATTTAGAGAGGCTTTATTGATTGATCATTAATAAGAACAACAATGTTGCAAAAAATTGGTGGGTTTGGTACAGTGCTGCAGGGCAACTAAAGTTTAGTTATTAAAGCATATGTACTATTAAAACTGCAGCGTAAGTGGATCATTGGAATGTATAAATCTCCTGACTCCTTAATAAATTGCAATTTCTTATTCATCTTCATTAGAAGGGCATCGACATGTGAAAAATGCCTTTACAGCCTCAGAAGACAGTTTGGCTTTTTTTTGTCAGCAGTAGTAACACATGCAACGATTTGATTCAGTACATAACATAACAGAAATAAGAAAACGCTAACAATGGAGAAGCTAGCCCCTGCCCGAGAAAAAAAAAAAATCAATTAATTGAATGTCAATGGCCAGAATGACAATGCAATAATGTTCAACCACCCAATTTTTTTGATTTTTAATCACTTTTGTTTTGCTTGAGATTGGTCGTCCCCGAATAAATACAGTATTGTTCCATTTAAAAATGTGATGCTTAAAAAAAGCCCACAACCCATATGTTGCATTTGTAATAAACTCAGTTTACAAATGATCAGCGCAAGCAGACACATATTCCAACCCTCAATCTGTTCTTTTTAATAGCTTATTACTGATTTATAAAACGTCAGTTATTGAATCAATGAATTGAATGGGTAAATGGCGAGAAAGTTGCAAGTAGACATATCTTGTTTTGCAAATTAAAGTTCTGCTACTTGGGCGTGCACCAGTGCTCTATCTCTATGTACCGCCTGTGATTCGATTAGAGGATTCAGACAGGGTTCTGGCAGCAGAGACAGAGCAAGCGCTTTAATTGACTCACAGTTGTTGTGTAGACAGCCTCGGGATCGTCGTCGATCACCCTTGACAGGCCGAAGTCAGACACTTTACACACAAGATTGCTGTTGACAAGGATGTTTCGGGCAGCTAGATCTCGGTGGACGTATCCCATGTCGGAGAGGTATCTCATTCCCGCCGCGATGCCCCGCAGCATCCCCACCAGCTGGATGACAGTAAACTGACCATCATGTTTCTGCGCGGGAACACAGAAGAAGAGAAAACAATAAAAACACTGGGCAGGTCAGTCGTCTCCGGTCGCTGACCATGCAGGAAATGTAGGTCACTGCACTGCAGCAGCTCCAGAACAAGATTTATGATATTCACACGACGCACACATCTTGCTGCACACCGCCGGCTCTCTGGGACGCTCTCCAGCAGACGCAAGAGGAAAAGTTACAAGAGACGCTCACGCACTTCCCAAGGTGACACTCACCCTGAGGAACCCGTCTAATGAGCCGTTCTCCATGTACTCGATGACGATCATCACGGGCTTTCCTGATGAACAGAAGAGACGGAAAATAAAGGAGACGATCAATGGTAGAAGGATTGTTTTGTTTGCTCACAAAATGCTTCACAATAAACAACGATGCCGGAACTGTTCCAGAGTTATTTTTAGCCTTGTGTATTAGCTTTTAATTAAAAGTTACCATCTGCTCCTGTTTTATTACAGTTTCTAAATGAGAAAATGTTAAACAAGGACTGTGGCTAATCCAATCAGATCTAATATCACTCTGACTAGAACGCTTTTACGTCCCAAAGCTAAATATGCTTTGATGAAACTGATTGAGCAGCATTTTTAAGGGCAGAAACCCCAAGTGAATAGGGTAATACTTCTAATTAACAAATACCACCGTGAAACTTCACAAGCTCATCACTAACATTCGCTAAACAATTCATGTTCTGAAATTGCATGTTTAAAGAGAAATATTATACAATTTCCCAATAAATATTATACTATTTCCCAATAAATATTTGCTATATATATATATATATATATATATATATACACACACACACACATTTCCATCACAGGAATCACAGGACTTGACGTATTAGATTCAAAGGGGTTTTCACAGACAGGATTTGGGATATTTCTAGAGTAGACCACATTAATCTGAAAATACATCTGCAATACAATCATCCAATTTGTTTTTAGGGATACAATGCTACAGATCAGGCAGTGAATGATACAAAACTCTTGTGTAAAAACCTTCAGAATACAGACAGAAATTAGACTGGAAGGTTTGGTGAAGTGCAACCAAAGTGGAGATTGCAGAATATAAAAATAAATGAATTGTTCATGTCAGACAATATTTCGCGGACCGGTCGAGAAGGTCCGACAGGGGGGGGTGTAGTAGTCGTTGCGGGCGGAACGACCGACGGGGGGGTGGGGGGGTAGTAGTAGTCGCACGCTCCGTGTTCGCTGGTCGGCGAAACTGCCATGCACGGTAAAAGGACAAGAAAAACGGTGCCGCGTGGGGAATATGTCAGAGGAACGAGCGCACATAATTAGGAGAAAATCCGGTCAATTTTCGAAATAAAACATTTTTCAGAAAAAAATTATATATAAGCTTTCTGTGGTGCGGCCCGGTACCAATAGGCCCACGGACCGGTACCGGTCCGCGGCCCGGTGGTTGGGGACCACTGAACTAGATAACAAAAAAAAAGAAAAAAATTATTTAGAAGTTGCTAACTTGAAATGTATATTTATGAAATGAAATGTATATTTAAATACGCCAATTTTGCATTATCAAATTGATCAAGATCAGATTTTAGTAGAATAGTCAACGCAGAAAAATAAACACCTGAATGTGTACTTTGGATATTTTCTTTCCCATAATCTGAAAGAAGACACCTTTCGGGAAGCGAAAAAGCCTTAAAAATCCCCCAAATCCCCAAATTGACAAGTCCATGAAAAGGAATGTTTTCATATTTTCACTGTGATTACCTCTCGTCACGACTCCCTCCAGATGAACCACGTTGGGATGGTCGAACTGGCCCATGATGCTGGCCTCGCACAAGAAGTCCCGCCTCTGCTTCTCCGTGTAGCCCACTTTCAGCGTCTTAATGGCCACCGACACGTCCCGCTTCCCGGGCAGCTTGAGCCGGCCGCTGCACACCTCCCCGAACTCTCCTGTGGTGGGACAAGGCCGTTAGTGAGTGAGTTGTGTGTGGGAACAAAGCCTTTCACAATGACACATTTATTAGTTCTTTTTGAGAAAAAGCAGCTGTGCAGCGGTGGAATACAAATTGGTATTGCAACATCTTGTTCTACTCGGGGGAGTGTGACCAAGACCTATAATAAGACACACTAGCTATGCAGAGATACCGTCATTGACCGCATCTCTAACAAAACTCCATGTGGCAGCATTTTCTCAGCCGTGGAAAAGATCTCGAGGACTGCCTCCCCCACACGATAATTGCAGTGAACTTTTTTTTACCCCCCTTTTCGCAGTGGCACCATCAATATACAATGCATAAAGCTGAGCCAAAGTGTAAATATCTGGCTGTCAGAGTGATGTATGAGAGCACCGAGTGACTAAACAGCGCGGGCCGAGAGGAATCGGGATGGCGCTCACCTGCTCCGATAACCCGCTCAATTTTGATGCAGGAGGCGTCCAGCTCCTTGGCAAACTGATGGACGGCCCTGTTGGGGTCCTCGTAGGTCTCAGGGTCAATGTAGGTTTTGGTGCCTGGAAATTTAACTGTAGAAAGGTAAGAGGATTACTGTTATGAATAAATATGCACGCTACGCACCGGCGGGCACTTGACAGGGAAACGGTTACAAAGACTAGTGATTCAGAGGGAATTACTGAGCAGCGAGCGGTGTGAAAAAAAAAGAGGAAAAAAGAAAAAGGGTTTCCATGTGAGAAAATCCATCACAAATGGAAAGATTTGAGTAACCCCGTAACCGGAGACTACCCCGCCAAAGAATAATGTGGTTATGCCGGTTCATCATGCTGGGTCGTTTATTGACACGTGACGTCTTTGTCCAGATGAGTGAGGTTGTTTACAAAGTAGTATGTACTAATTAGAACTATTGCTTAGCCATCTTTCATATGTTCAAGGGCACCTATCATTAAAAAAAACACACTTTCTTCAGTGATCCATTAATTTATCCAATTTGAGCTTCCAAAATACTTTTTCTGACATGATTTGAACGTCCAGATCCAAAAAGGACCAAATTACTGTGAGCAGCTTGAATATGGTTCAACTATTTGAGTTCAGTCCCCTGAAGTCTCATTGAAAGAGAAGTTCAGTCTGGGCCACGGTAGGAAATTGCATCGCTCCAGTGTTTTTATCCCCCTGTAGCACCGGAATGAGAAGAGTTCATGAAGTGATGGTGAAAGCACTTTTTAACCAATAAGGAAAACAAACAAGGTTAGAGTCGGGCTAGATATGGGATGGAAGGGGGGGGGTACTCTTTTAACAAATTAACAGCACATTGCAGTATTATGCACTATTAAGCAAACATGTCCACTCACGGGATTTTAAATTCCACCGGTAACAACACGACCTGTCGACTTTAAAATTTAATGAGCAAAGTGCAAAACCGCACGCTCATCCGGATCAAGAGACTCTCAACTCGCCGAAGCGATGCCGCCAATCCCAACGCCGCAAACACGGAATAAACGCATGGTGCCCTGGCGAGGAGGGGACTCCCTCCACTTGCTCCCATAATTGCTTAGTCGGTCCGAGATATCAGCGGAGATGACTTCTGGCGCTGCACGGCGGACAAATTGGGCCAACATGTTGGATTTGCCGTATCTGGCTTCTGTCGCCGTCGCTTGTCATTCGATATTGCTCGGCGGATCGCTCCATTAGGGCCAGACGCCGGTGTTTGGGTCCGTGTGTCTCTCACAGTTGTTTTCTTTCCCTCTACCCGAGCTGAGGTGGATCTGTCAGGTACTTAGCGTCGGCCGACTCGGACTCGCCGGCGCTGCCTCCCACTTTAGCAGTACGCACCGTGGCACCCCCTGACCCTTTTTGTTTCCAAATCAGCAGTTTGCCTACAGCCATGGATCATTACAACTCCACTTGGGGAAGCAGTCTGCAGCTGCATCTCCGGGGGCATCATTAGGGATAGAAGGGGCCTGGAAGGAACCCCTTCGGCTGAGCAAACAGTGCTCCAGAAGCTCTGGTCGCTCGCCAGGGGTGAAAGTAGATGGAAGTTCCTGAGTACTAACACTCCAACCTTTATCACTTCGTACTGCCATCCCCCCACTCTCAGCTTACTGCATCCTTTAACACACACACATTCGTTGTTTTCTGGGTGGCGCAGAAACAATTACTAATACTTCAAATGGTAAAAGTGCCACAGAATGAATCGTCAACTGAGGCCAAACTAAGTAAATCACGTTCTCTAAATAATTCCAGCTAACTTCATCTTCAACCTGCCCTGACCTGCTGTTGGTGTTGTTGGAAATAAGCTTGTAAAGCATCACAACTTATTTTCTATCCGACAGCTGCAGCACAAGCTAACAGGAGGCTAACTGTAGCGTTTTGGAGAAGCAGCACAAACAGATTAAAAAACCTGCAGACACAAAACAAGACGACGCTGAAACTATTCAGAACAAAACTTGAGTGACACTCGCGTTGCTCTTTCCCGAAGTAGAGAAGTTGTTCGTCAGAGACTGACATGTTAATGAGCTTGAAGTCGTAACAAAATAAAATCTAAGAAAAGAGGGGTTGTGTTTGATTGCTTCAACAATATTTTTGCTTATTGTGATCTTTTCCCAGTCAGGAATTCGTTTTTGTCAATACATTTCGACAGCACATCAATGCAGAGCAAATTTTCGTGATAGGGTACACAATGATAATGTACAAACCAACGAACCGAGCTGTAAACATAACCTCCTTGGCCGGGGTCACTAGTTGTGTGTTGTTGGCAGCTGTGTCTTCTTGTCGAAATGCGGTTGTGTCGTGTTGTTACACCATGTCCTTGGGTTTGGGAGGCAAGCTGCTGTCCCTTGAGGGACAGAGGTTCCCTTTGCCTCTGTCCCTCACTACAACCACCTGAGTTATGGCACCCTTTTCTTTTTCTTTTTTTACGAGAACACCCCCCCCCCCCCCCCTCCACGAGGTCAACCTCTCCTCCCTGACAGGTGCCCCTTTCGCTCATTTGTAGTTCCCCAACGCCTTCCTCTCCACTGACTGAGTCCTGCCAACCAGTGGCAGATGTTCGCGAGCATGTTACCCGGCTCTGAGCCGAATCAAATCAAACGCACATGCCTGTGGGGGGCTAATGCTATTTTTGTTGACGTCTTTTTTTAAAAGCACGCCCTTCTGTGAGGGATGCCAGGAATTGAGGATACCACCCCGTCTACGCGCGTGTCTGATGTGGGTATGTGAAGGCCGAGTCAGGTGTGAGGCTTGGACACAGAACTCAAAACCGACATTGGGAAGTAGGAAGTCCTCGTCCGCCTCTCACTCCTTTTGTTTGACCCGCAGTGCCTGCACAGGAAAGGGGGAGGTGGGGAAGGGAAGGGTTGGTGGGTGGTGGGTGGGAGGAGTGCAGAATCAACTGACTGTGCAGAGCAAACAAATGCCCTAAATCAAAAGAATTTTAAAGCGGAGTATCATATTAATGCATATTGAACATGGCATGCGCTGTTGAGGACAGTTCAACACGTCTTGTAATGTCCATTTTTGCGATATTAACGTGTTGAAGGTTCCCTCGAGCAGGTGTTTTGCGGCACAAAGTTGGTCTTTGAGCATGACCGGGGGCAAAAAAGAAAAAAAATAGGTGGACCACATCTGAAAAGGTGGAATGAGCTGCAAGTGCTGGACATGCACTTATTGTTGATGCATTGACACATGTGCGGCATTGTATCCACTGTTCATTCTGTTCGACCAGAACTCTCATTTACAGGCTGATTTCACTATACGTGGAGCTATTTTTATTTTGTTGGTTTAGTGAGTGGTCCTTGATTGAACATGTTGTTGAGAAAAGATCTTGGTTGCAGGTTACAGTTGTGACCGTCACCAATGGAATGATATGGAAATTATGTGCTGGAGAAAAATCATATATATATATATATATTATATTATATGTGTATATATTTTTTTGGTTCCTGGAGAGATTCACACAACGGTTGTTGAATGACGGGCTCAGATGTGCATTAAACTCCCAACTTTGACTCCCTGGTAAATAAGACCAGCAACTGCATTGGAAAAACGTTAACAAAATATTAACAAAATAATATGCACATCGAACTTAAAAGGTAGGGTTTGTGGTTTCTAATCTTGACCATAGTATTGTATCCACGTAAGAAGTGGGTACAGTCATTTTTTTATTTGGTCAGTAATTGAGGGAGAATGCTGCAGATGGCAGCGGCTAAATGGGCTGCAATGTATTTCCACTTAGTTTTGTAAAACGATGGTTGCATTGTATTTTGTATGGTCTGAATTGGCCACCTTTGAGCCCATTTTGGCAATTATGCAGCTTTCAGGTCAGACGTATGGATCTTTATCTTCAAGGCTGATTCTAAAGAACTGCATTAAATGAAAGTTCTGACGAGGGGCCGTTGGTGCAGAAGAGTGTGTGTGTGACGGAATGATGGGAATGATAAAGACCCTCCGGATCTCACACACACACATGCAGAGCCAAAGCTCGCTTTTGCTCTGGAGGACTTGTCTCATAATGGCTCTTAAAAAAAAAAAAGAATCTCAAAAAGGGCTCAAAGAGGTGAGGATGTAAAAAAAAAAAAAAAAAAAGAAGCATCACAGTTCATTAGCACAGCATGCCACAAGATGATGGGTGCGTACGTGAGCGTGCGTGTGCATGTGTGCGCGCATGTGAGGCAACAACCGCGGGAGGGCGCGGAGGCCCGTGATTGGAGAGAGAGGGCTAATTTAACAAGCGCAGACTCACAGGAGCGGAGAGTCAATGGGGCCCGCGAGAGCGTACCTTCTCCCGATGATGAAGCCGAACACCATGAACACCAGGATGATGGTCCCCGCCACGGCCACCACCGCTATGATGATGACGGGGTTCTGCTCGCTGGAGACGATCGCCGCTGACGGGACGGACACACGCGGAAAAAAAAAAAAGAACACAAAAGGAAAAAAAGACGTTCAGTGAGAATTTGGGCACATCGAACCACCACAAACGGTGGGATATAACTTCGCCCGACAGGAGGTGCAGAGGATGAGGAGGAAGACGAGGAGGTGGGGGGGGGGTCTGCTTCTATTTTTGAGTCGTCCTCACACTTCACTGTTTCAGAAAGTGGGCTTAATAGACCCAGACGGCGGCGGCGATGCCCTTCATCTCAAACAAAGACACATTCAGGTTGGATTGTTTCCACGTGTGTGTGGGTGTGCGTGTGAGAGAGGTGGGTTTCCAAGTGGATCTACTTGGTAAGAAAGATTTTCTTTGTTTGCTATTGTTGTGGCCTGTTTGAGGAGGAAAGCAACAACATTTGATCAGTTAATCCGAGCCTTGATGGCACACTGATTTAATGTTATATACTTTTTTTGGGGGGGGGCTGTCATTTTGCAAGCTTCCACTCTGCGCTGGTCAAGGACACTCTGACCGGACTGCAAAACGTCTAACCTTGTCCTATGGACACGCTCTGCATGCGGCGCTACTAATCATGCAGGAGTTTGTGGATGTAGGGAAGGGGATGCACGGTGGTCTTCAGAACCAATGAATTAATGAAACTCAAATTCTCCCCCCCCCCCCAACACCACACCTTTCGAGAAAACAAAAACTAGTGGGAGGGGTTTCCCAACATGCTGGATTCCCCGGTGTGACATAGCACATGCACCGCTGCCGGGGATTTGAAACAATCGTTGTCTCATACCTCATGGGAATCCGCTTCTCTACGGTGGATCATAATGCCAGACATTATGATCCTTAACAGCTCGGAGCAGCAACCCTCACCTACACTCACCGATAACACGCTGCGACACCCGGTGCAGAGCTAATGCAGCTGATTAGATTCAAACAAGGTTTATCCTCATGACGCCACGATGGCTCGTCCTTGCACTCAATGATTTTTCACATGACGTGTCGTCAGCACAAAGTCAAATGCAATTTCTGTTATTTCCCCGGGCTATTCTTAGCGGGGTTGGATACACAATGGGTTGCACTCGAATTTGGAGTCGAGAGTTTGAAAACCATGATATATATATATAACCATGATAAATATATATATATACAAATAACATAATATAGGGTCAGACCGTAGAGGTGAAACACTGTCAAATGAAGCATAATTGAATGCACAAGTGAATCGAAAAAAGTGCGTGGTGGAGCTTTGAATGCTACCTGTGGCCTCCTCCTTGGTGGTTATCTCGAGTCTGGGGCCGTATGTACCGTAGCCTGCCTCTGTGAAGGCCCTGATCTGAAACACGTAGGCTGTGCTGGGCTTCAGGTTGTTCACTGTGGCTGATGTGGACTTGGACCTCACTGTGGAGTAGACCCGGTCTTTCTGATCCTGAAAGAGAAGCAAACCAGTTTTCATGAGAAATAGTATTTTATTTAATCACTTCTTCTTTGCCTTTTCTTTTGATCGCTGTACAGCATTAAGCAAAATGCTCAGATGTTTCAAATTAAAAAGATTTGAGGGGCAAAATCCCACTCCATCACGGCAGACTTTTAAGGTGACACATCGCATCAAATTGATTTGAAAAACAGCTCAAATCAAAGCAAATGGAACTGGAAATACTCAATACAAAATTCAAACGGTGCTGGGAACATTTGCCTGATACTGAATGAACCATATTTATTAAACTAACTTAAGTTTAAAATATATATATTTTTTATATATATAAAAAAATAATAATTATATATATTATACACACATATATATATATATATATACACACACACACATATATACACACACAAATACATATATATATATATATATATATAAATATATAATATAACATTTATATCTCCATTCACTTTTTGAAAAGGGGCTTTTGTATTAGATTTTACAGAAACAAATTCATTTTTTTTTACGTGAGCATATCTTATTTTCACTGATTATCATCTTCACGGGGGTCCGATTGGTCAATGCTTTAAGCGGGGCTGCCATCTGAGCTCTGCCGCACTCCTAGCCTTTGATTTGACGTCCTTTCCCCCTCGAAGGGTGAGTTTTTCCTGTGCCGATGTGAGGGTTGCGGGACAGAGGATGTTGCATGTGTACAGACGGTAAAGCCCTCGGAGGACAAATTTCTGATTCGCGATTTTGGGCTATACAAAATAAATTTAATTGATTTTTCTCTGGGTTAAACCCGCTCCATTAAACCGTTGCTGTAATGTGTTCGGACTTGAAACGCAGTGACGGTAAAAGCTACGAGGAAGGAGAAAAGAGATAACAGCGACAGATTACTAATTCTGGCAGTGCGGCGGCCGCGGCCTGTGGGTGCTGGTGCGTCGGGGGGGCGGGACGACTGTAAAGGAGTGCGGCCTGATTAAAATCTTCTGAGCATCTTCATCCATTATTGCAATTACGAGACAAAGGACGCACTTGCGGGAGTCTGGTGAATTCCACTCGCAGTGGCATCGCGGATAGAATACAAAATGGAGAGTCTGCAGAAGTGAAGAGATGGTGCCTACTGTGGAACTCACCTTTTCGTAGTATTTGATTTCGTACTCTGTGATGACGCCGTTGGGCTGCCGGGGCTCCTGCCAGGAGAGCTGGATGCTGCGCTGCTGCACCTTCTCCTTGATGACCTCGCTGACCTGCGACGGAGCTGTTTGGACAAGAGCAGATCGATGAGCCGGGAGATGAAAACCAACTCTGCTAACATTCACAGCGACTAGCTTTTTAATGCTTAGTGTTGCAGCCACTGGTGAAGAGGTGAGAATATGAAATTGTCATTATGTCTTGGATGTATTTCAACATCCAGCGGGAACAAAGCAGACGCCTGCTCTCCTCGACGACGGATCTGTTGAGACATCCTGTCAGAGGGAGAACGGTTACCTTCACCCTCTTCACACCGATTGTCTCCGGCTCTTTGCGTGACTCATTTGAAATGTCTGGTTGAATGTCTGGTTGCCTGGATTAACTGCTGGGGCATTTACATTTGCTCAATAGACCACACGCAGACACCCACACAGAGTTCCATCTTTTAGTTGTCAAGGTGAATGATAGTAACAACCTGAGCTGTAATTTAAAGGAGACGTTAGGCACATTTTCAGGTTCGTGCTTGATTCTGCTTGAATATGTTTACTTGATTTAATGTAAAAAAAAAAAAAAACACTTTGTCTAAAATGTTCTGTGTTGGCATTCTCTTTAAATATTTACAGACCACGTTAAAATACAGAGAATTGCACGGCTTTATTATTTATTCATTCAGTGGATACTTGTATGTACATGTTTACACATGTAGAAAGGAGGGGCTGTTGTTGTGTGGGAACCACAGCATCAGTACGCCGCACAAAGCCATTTCATAAGCTTTAGCTAAGCTAAACATATATTTTTCAAGCGCCATCCGAAGGTAAAGTGTAGACCTTTTGTTTTTAGTGAAAAGATTAGTCTAAATTTTCAAGCGCAAACTTCTTCCTGGAAAGTTAATAGAAGCAGTTAAACTTGTCTGAAGACGTTTATTTCCGTGCGTCAGCACAGCGACTAGTTCTCAGCTCCTGGTTCCACCAGCATCACCTTTACTGCCTTGATCATAATAACCATCATTTCCACAGCACTTGTCTTAAAGACCGCAGTGAGAGAAAAATAGGCTTTTTGGCTTACTGAACCTCATCCCAAGGAGATGATTCTTGAAGAAAAAAAAAGTGTAATCTGCACTTTTAACAGCCTCAAAATCCATCCTGTAAACACACTGTGAAACCGTCATGAGTCACGCTGCTCTAGGGGGCAAAAACATATTAATTATCGCGTCTTAGCGAGTTTGAAAAGGCGTCCTGGGGAATACGCGAACCCCGAAGTAGAAGCCGCTTGTCAGTTGCTGTACTTTGATTTCAGTTTTCCCGGGTCTCTCACGAACTGAAGACGTGCTTTTCACATGACAGAGGAGCTCGTGAATGACGGAATTACACCAAAGGAGGATGTGAATTCGGTTGATTTTGGAGCAATCTGCAATTGATGAAACAGAAGAAGCTCATGTTTCTTCACTGGCATATGTATATTAACAGATCTTCCGCTTGTACAGTCCAACCATGACGCTGACAACATCCACATCAGACAGGAGCCAACGCTCTTGTACCATGCCCAGTGACCCGGCACTCTAATGCAGCTTGACCCTAGATTGTTCTACGATGACCCTGCCACTAATGACTGCGGCTGGATTAAAACCTCATTAGGCCTCATCGGCATTCCTGACAGCCACGCAAACGACAACGTTCACCCAAGACCTTGTAAAAAAAAACAACAAAAAAAAAAGAAACTTCTGTTGTGACATGTTCCTTAATAATCCACCCAAAACACGGGAACAAAGCATCCTTTCTCGGCGCAGGGCAGACGGACAAAGGGGCCGATTGAGTTTTCCCTCGCCGAGTCACAACAAGCAGTTAGTGCAGCTTAACCTCATCCAATTTGGCCGCTCTCTCAGTCCCCCATCCACATGGTGTCCTTGATATATGGACCTCTCCTAAAATGTTTTTTTTTTGCGGTTTGTGGGAACTAAAGGATTCTTCTTGTCTGTTAACTGCATTCATTTGACATTTGTCTTCATTCCCTGCAGACATTTTTTTTCATTCTTCTTAACACAGTAAAATGTTGGACTAAAGCAGTCGTTAAATGTTGATGCGTACTGACCCAATGGTCTGTTTAATGCAACATTAACAGGAATCAAATGATTGATTACATCACAATTCAATTTAAAGTTTACACAACAAAGTGTTTTTCTACTACTCTGTACTACTACCACTAGTACTACTGTAAAAATCAATAAAAAAAGACAGCATTGATGCCGATATTAGGGAGTACAAAAACAAAACTACTGATTTAATCCAAAACTGCTCCGGATTCCTGCTGATGACATGGTCCACCGATCAAACTACTAACCGCAGGGCCAGGTGTGGCTTCTAAAATATTCTCCCTTTCACTCCTCAAGCTGCACACTTCCTACGTTGCAACTTGATATGGTCTCAAACTACAACCATGGGACTAGATTTGGCTTCATAAAACCTCTTACACTTCCCATGAAGCAGCATTGTCATGTTTTCGGTCAGACCAGGTTCTCAAACTATATTTGTTATGATATCTTCTTTCATTTGACCCTTAACTATATCAAGTATGCGTATAGTCTAATACAAAATGCACAATGTAAGGCTGACACAACAATATCAACATCATTGTGCTTGCAACTGCACAAAAAGGTTCTTGATTAACTAATTGATTAAGACTTAGTATCAATCTTTTTCTGTCTCCATCTTTGGCGTTTTCATTCCTCAAATCCCTATTTGTATAAATCGCACATGAGCATATGAAACATTTCGTCAGCGGGTTTATTGTCCCGAGCCGGCGTTCAGCACGATGAGCCACCTTCCCGCACACACCTCCTTCTCCCTCAAGAGTGTGACTCAGGCTCAGGTAGCAGATCTGCCCCATTTACCCCCCCTTTGGCCCGCGGCGGGGGAGACAGCGGTGACTCAGCTCAGCCCCGCCCCAACCTTCAGCTCCTTTACCCCTGCCACGGGGCCGACAGTGAGCCGGGGTCCCGCGTGTTTCAACAGAGATCATGGGATCAGGGAGCGGTATTAGCAGACGTGGCGTACCGCGCGGGGCTTAGAGGGGGGGGGGTTGGGAGGGGGCGACCATGGTTTGCTCGGAAAGGGAAAAGCGGGGTCATTCTTAAATTCATTTGGAGTTAAATACAAGTGAACACAACAGTAAAAATTCCTCTTGTGGCTTCCCTTCCTCCCCCCATCTTGGTTCAAAGTGACAAACTGGATATCAAGGAGACGGCACCATTCAGCCACTCTCCGACTCTAAGCATACCTGGTGGGCTTAGCGCAGCGGAAAATTGTATAATTGTCTCGCCCGGTTTCTAAGAGACTGTTTTGGGGAACGCCATTTGTGCCTTCATTTTGCAATATTAGTAAACCCTTCAGTGACCCCTAACACCTCCTCCTGTAAAGCTAGCTGATGCAGAAGCCCAGATGCCACAGTCTGAGTGTCTTATGAATACATTATCCTCCTCTTTCACTCAGCCATCGGATTTCTGGCCTCGAAGGCGAGGAGCGAGCGCGGGAGGTAGTTCATTACATAAGCATCTTTCTCCGCCTGCGTGCCTGCCTCACGAACCGTACCAGCGCTACGAGTTCACATTAATTACCGCTGTTGTCAGGACCCCGTCCTGTGTGCAAGTGCAGAACACTGTGTTTGATAGTGTTTTAAAGGTTTTTAATTTAAAAATAAGAGATTACAATGTGTCAGAATATAAAAAGAATCCTTTGGGCCCAACACGGGCACATAAACAAACGTAAGGCACGGCATCGTTTCAATTCAAACAATTGCCATGGAACGTGTTTGACGAAGAAGACTGTTCAGTGCGACACCTAAAGTGCTGGATAGAAACACTTCAACACGTGATATAAGAAATCCTTTTTAATCATTCAAACCCTGTATAGTTCAGGAAGCTGTTAATACACTTAAAGTCGCACTTTGCCGGCCGGCTCTGCATCAAGACTTTCACACATTGACAGCTCTTGATGCCTTTAACATGCTGCATAGGCGACGTTCAGTTTCCTAGTCGCCACTGCAGAGGTGAATATTTGCAGTTCTGGGGAGTGTGCTTGTTAGACTGAAGCCTTTTTCTCCCCCTTTCTCAATACATCATCTCCAGCAGCCCGTGAAACAAAAAGCTTTGGTTTGGCTGGCTTGACTCTAACGGGGTATGACATAATCAAGATTACTTTTACTCTTGTGTTGTGACTCCCATAACTGAGCAGACCAGACTGTTCTTAAACGTTGGCAGCTTTGAGGTGGGAAAAAAAAAAGGCTGTTAAAATATTACGGTATATTTTTTTTCTCCTCCATTTCCCATAATGCCACGAATAGCATTGTTCTGTGTATAGTGTTTGTACGTCTTGCTATAGATTGTAGCCTGATCTGATATAACCCTTGATGACATCATCACAGCTAAATTTTCTCAGACACAATGCAACCTGACAAAGCTCCTCCAGACCAACAGAAGAATGGTAAACTGACGTTTATGCATAAAACTGTTGGGTTTGGCCTTAAAAGTTGATGCCAGGCAGTTTGGCTCATGGATAAATAAAAACCACTTAAGCTGAAAATAAAGACTTTGCTCTGGCTGAGGGAAGAAGAATACTTGCATGGATTGTACGTGGGTTGCTGGATTTGAAAGCACGACCACAACATTCTCTCGCTATCTACTGTCTCAGAGTCCAACTGCTGTCTGCTCCTCTCAATGTAGTGCTCTCGTGGTGGGGGTCGTTTGTCTCTCCCAGGATGCAATTTGCATTCTAAGACAGCCACATCATTTCCAAAAATTTCATGCGACCCCCAGCTGTTTTTTACAGCTGGGATGCCTTCATATGTCAGTGTGTGGGTGTTTTCAGCGGTTTAGTTATCATGCGAACCCCCGTGGAAAGTATGTGTATATGTGTGGGTGGGGGAGGTTATCTGTACCCAGCTACTTTTCACTGAAGCAGCGGCTTAGCTCTGAGGGCCATTCATCCAGTGACAGGCTAAAAAACAGCATTGGGTTTAGTAAACTGCATGTGAGTACCACAGTAAAGGATGAAGGGCGATAATAGGCCCATAATA